CATGTTCTCAAGAGAACATGGCGTCGCCTCAAGAGGCCTCACTGCCCGCGTCCAACAGGAAGGGCTCACTGTCTTTTCCACTTCCTGCCTTCCTGGCGCAGCCGCATTCCTTCCAACCTCCACAGGCGAATCCGAGATCGCTGCAGAGGCGTAAAGAAGACCTGGGCAAGCTGTGAAGTGCCCTCGTCGATGTATTGCTTGGCCGTTTTGCTACATGACCAGCGCCCACGTGCCACTGTGGCATCCATGCTGAGGGAGGACTGGAAGAACCACGTGGCGCCCCCTCTGCGGAGGCTGTAGGGTGAGTAGTCATCCGGAGCAAAGCCCAGCTTTGTCAGCATCTTGGCAAACTGCACGCGAAACTGACGGGGCCCAGGAGGCCAGAGCAGATCCTTGCGACGAGGCTCCAGAATGCTCTGAGCAAAGCTGACCAGCTGCCGATCCTGTACCAGGACCACCTGAGGGTTTCCTTGTGAGGTCTTGCTCCCAGGGAGGATCACACTCATGCCATGGCCCCGGTCGTGAATCACCAGGTGTCGGTGCGTAAGCCCCACCAGCTCTCCGGTGCGAAGGAGAGCGTTGAAGCCCACGGCTAACAGGAGGGCGAAGGTCGCCTGGCCTTGACTGAGTGCCAGGCCCATAAGGGCCTCCACTAACTCCCAATGAGCCGGAATGGCTCGCACCGGCCTGTAGCATCGCTGCCAGTTGCGGTAGTATTGGCTTGCCCGTGGCAGCTCCAGTCTTAATTCTGGGTGAAATCTTTTGATGGCGGAAAGAAGGTGCCCTGAGTAACTCATGGGCTCACCCTCCTGATAGGAGAGGTCAATGAATTCGGCCAACTGGCGATCCAGGCGATGTGGCTTTGCTATATCAAGCCTCCTGCGCTTGACATGCTTCAAGAATCTATCCAGGGCTGTTCGGTAGGCTCGTAGGGTGCGAGGGTGCAGGCCTGCAAACTTCAGGCCTCGTTTACTTCCCTTCATGTGCTCGGCTTGGCTTGTCCGCAAAGTTCCATGCGCTGATGGTCCAAAGCGGAAAGATGTAGTCGTCCATCGCAAGAAGGTAGGCACTGCACCTTCGTGCCACCCTGTTGAGCCTCCTGGAACTGCTGCGACCCTTTGCAAGGACGCCCCTGGTAACCATCGAATCCAGCACGTGGAAGAACCTCTGGTGTTGCTTCGTGCTAGTCCGCGCTCTGCGCTTGAGGAATACAGCCACTGCCAAGAGCTCAAGTTCATTGATATGAGCTTCTTGCCGCCATGCATAGGCCATAGAGGTGCGCCACTTCCACCTCATGGCCAGGTAGGGTAATTCATGCACCTGCCCGTCGGGCAGCTCGAGGGACAGTCGGACATCTGAACCTCGGTAAGTTGCTTGCCGGAGGAGGTAGCGCAAATGCTCCTTCTCTTGCCCCTTCATCATTGACTGCTCCATTGATGCCAGCAGCCCAGCCACTGGCCCTGCCACTTCGGGATGCGCCAACCTGTCTGTGGACACGGCCAACTCCTCCAAGTAGTGCGCTTGCCGAGCCTCCAAGACAGCTGCATCGAAGTGTCCATCTGCCTCAAGCTGCTCCTTGACAGCCTGGGCGTAAGCTTTACACATCTCCCACGGGTATTCAGCCTCCTCCTCCGTGGGGTAACGCAGCGTGCCGTCTGGCATTTCTTCTACTTCATAGCTCCTCAAACCTTCGTGGCCCGGGCAGTCTCGGGAAAGGTGCCACCTCAGCGTGGGGAGATCGCTGAGCACTGCGAACCACTTTTCCCGCTCTCCGCCGAAGCAGCAATGGGACCCCACTGAGTACTTCATTTCTGGCCACTCTTCCATGTCTTTGACGAGCTTAAACTCCCACATCCATGAGCGTCGTGGGTGCTCCACTGACCAGTAGCACTTCTTTCCTCTCCTGTCCTCCTTGCCTCTTCTGAGAGCCCTGAGCACCATTTGGTTAGACTGTCGGACTCTAGCTTTCATTTCGCTCGACAACCACGGATAGCCCATGACGTGGTTAGCGTCCCGAACCGGCTGCGGGCCAGCAATCGTGCGACCGTTGCGAAGCTTGATCGGCCGTCCTCGGGCTCTGCTGAAGAGCTTGCATTCGGGTGCCCAGTGCTCAACAGCCAGACATGGGTCGTTCATCAGGTCCCTCAGCGTTTCCTTCCCCTCATCAGTGAAGATGTCATCACCGAAGTACCAGTCAAAAGGGGGTTGGACCTCCACCTTGCCCAGCATGGCCATTGCATGGCTCAGCGGCGCTCTTCGTCCCGCAAACCTCTCCCCAAACTTGGGTATTCTCCATGAGCTCCTTGGGCACACTTCCGCTCCCTCCCGATGGGTCAGGACACAGGAGAGAGAGCAGAGAGTGGCCCCGCAGATGGCAGGGCATGGGTACTGGTCATGCTCTGGGACGTCAGCTCCGCATTGAGCACAGACCGTCGGATCACGTGCAATGGTGCACGGTGCATCCCAGAACTCGACGGCCGTGGCAGCTCCACCCCCAGATGGCGAGGCGTCCGTGATTGAAACCTCTTGGTCGATGCGGGCCCTGAGATTCGTATACATGAGCGGAGTCAGAGCCATAACCATGGCAACCTCATCCCAACTCTCAGGTCGAGGCGCAGCTCTGTCCTGGTTTACAGCTCTGTCCTGTATCTCCGTGAAGAGCGATTCGAACACTGCAAAGAGGGGTCTTCTGAAACAGCAGCCGAATGTAGCCTTCCCCACAAAGTGACGGATCTCTGCTTCAGTCCACTTCTCCTTGGCCAACAAGGTGGAACCAAGGGTAAGGATGTTCAGCATCTTATCCAGTGCCAGCCCGTAACGGCCCAAATCTCCGTCCAGTTCGCCTCCTTGGAGGGCTCCATGCACTGTAGCCACAAGCCTTTTACCCTCGTTCAGTGGCAGTTTCAATTCCCTGCAGGCGGCCAAGAACCTTTCGTGCCTGTCCGACGGCACACCCTCCAGCACCTCTGCACAGCTCCTGTTGAACTTTCGGAGTTGGTCGTATGAGTCCAAGTAGATCACTGTCAGATCTCCTCCCTCTGGCAGGGGTTTTGTCTTAGCCACTTCTGATGCCTCTGGGATCTCCGCCACCTTGAACACTAATGTCCTGACAATGCTCTGGATGATCGCCACACTGCTGATCCAGCCCATGGGCAGCACGGCCATGGCGGGGTAGACAATCGTTCCTGCCTCCCCACCCAGGAGGGAGGCGTCAACAGCCTTTCCAAACGCCATGTACTTGTGCCAGCACTGGGGCAGCCGGAAGAGGTTAAAGCAGCTGGTGAAGTCTTCCGAATCAATCAGCCACACCTCCTCCTCTTCTTGTTCCAGGAGGGTCAGCTGGCCCAGGTACGGCAGCAGCTTGTCATCACCATCAATCCGCTCTTGGTAAAAGTTGGCTGGGATCAGGTTGCTGATGAAGCGCTGCACCCTATCGACAACTCCATCCACCTTCTTTTCCTTCTTCACTGCTCCGGCACCATTAAGCACCGGGTGACCATCCTTATCCTTGAAGACCTCATCTTGCTCTACAGCCACCATGAGCCCTCTTTCGTAGGCAGCCCGAACCACTTTTGCCCACTCCTCATCCGAGGCTCTCACCTTCGAGTGTGGGGGCTTGACTGGCCAATCTTGCGCTGGTTTCAAGCAGGACTCCGGATCACACAGCTTGCGCCGGAGGGGCTCCGGAAGAAACTCCACAGCTTCCTGCACCGCTGCTTGGCCCACTTTTGGCCAGGCCGCAATCACTCTCTCGGCTACGATGTCTTCCATGGGCATCACCGGTTCGCCCTGGTAGTCAAACCGAGCTGCCGCCAACTTTTGGGCTGCATCCTCAAAGGCCTCACACTTCAACCCCGAAGCCTCGACATAGCACAGGGCTCTGCACAGGTGCTCCACAGTAAGTTTCTGAGCCCTTGTGAGCTCCTTGGGAAACTCCAGGTTCGTCCAGCCTCCGTGGGCTTGGGCCCTTGCCAAGAAGTTCAAGGCGTTCACCATGCAGGTCACTCCTCGGGCAATCCTGGGGTGTTTCTCCTTGAGGTACCGCTCAACCGCGACAGGACTGATGGGAAGCAGGTCGTCGCCCCGCAAATTCTTTGAGGAAGAACCCTCGGGAGGCACCCCTTTGGCAACAGAACTTTGCGCCAGGCGACAACATGGCGTGTCTCTTGCAAGCATCATGTCCCACAGACCCGCTAGGACGTCGACCGGTGACCTCCTTTCTCCCAGGAATGCCTTCCTGTCCAAACTCTCAGAGCCCTTCGGCTCCGGTGAAGCTTCTTTCTTCTCCTCTGCAACTAGTCCTTCTTGTCCTTGTCTTTGCTTTCTCCTTTTCCTTTTCCCTTGTCCTTCCCTTTCTTTCCTCCTTTCTCCCTGTGACCTTTTCCGTCTTTGTCCCCTCTCGGAGGCTGCCACCCCTTCAGCTTGAGGTCGAGGAGATGCTCCCTGTTCATGAACACTTCCTCGTCCCGCTCCAGGAGACCGCCCCCGTCGGGGCCCAGCAGCTCGAGGTACTGGGCTGCTGCCCAGTGACCGTCGTGGCAGCTCTTCTCTATTGCCTTCACTCTCTGGCCCACCAGATCCGCCGCATGGGCGGGCTGCTTCCTTGCTAGGAGGTCCAGGACTGTGCAAAGTGTCCTGAGCTCTCTGTGCGCCCGAAAGGTGAGCTTCGGCCCCAGCTGAGGTACGATCATGGTGTGGAAATAATGCACCGCGGCCGGGGGAGTCATCTCGCCGACTTCGGCGGGGCTCGCCCCCACAGCTCCTAGGGCCCCCTCGGTCTGCATCTTCAGCAACAGCCTTGATGCGAGACGGCCCGGCGTCTTCTTCGAATACTGAATCAGCTTGAGCTGATTCGATGCCTTTGGAGCTGCGGGGGCTTCGCGAAAAACTCCCTCTGACTCACTGCTGGACTCCCCCCGATACCTCACAATGTCTCCGCCTCCAAACGGACCGCGGTCCTTCCGCGTGTTGGCCCCAGACGCAGGCCTTCCCTTGACTGGGTCGGCCCCGAAGAGCCCTTCTCCCGACTCCAGGTCTTCTTCACTGGAGGTATCAGACATCGTCTTCCTCTTGTCCTTGGTCTCCTTGGCTTCCTTCTTCTTGCCGGAGCCAGTGGTCCTCTTCTTCTTCTTTGCACCTCCTGAGGAGGGTGAAGGCTTCCGCTTCTTCTCCTTGGACTTCTTGCCGCCCGTCTTTTCCTCCGAGGCGTGGGCCTCCTTTTCTTCCTTGTCATGAGCCTTCTTTGGCTTCTTTTTCTTTAGCTTCTTCTTGGCGGCCTTCTTGAGGCTCTTCATTGCCAGAAGCTCCTTTTCCAACTTTCCAACTTCATGCTTGGCCTTGAGGAGCTTGGCCCGCAGCCCTTTATCACCTGAGCTGTCCTCACCAGACTCGCTCCCTTCTTCCTCACTGTCCTCACCACCTGGGTCCACCCAGGGTAAAGCCCCCGCTGCTTCTTCTTTCTCGGGCTCCAACTTGCGCCCTTTCAGGTACTTCAGAAAGGACCCTCCCGATTCTTTCTCGAAGGCCCACGACGGCACTTTTCTGTCAATCTCCTTCTGGGTGAGCGCTCTGAATCGCTCGAGGTGAATGGCGGCCCCTCGGCGACTCACTGGGCAATCGATGCTCGGGACCTCACAGCAGTGGTAGGCGCACTTCTTGGCGAGCCCTTTCCCGGCTCCCTCTGACATCCACCACCGCATATGCGGGTCACTAGCCGCCACGTAGCGCCCATGGATCCAATGCCCTTTGGCATCGGTGCTGAGGCTGTCCAACACCTCGAGGATCACCGTCCCTTGGGCTTTTCCGTCATCGTCGCGGATGGCTCCCTCGAGCAACATCCCCTGACGGAACTTGAAGCCATGCCAGGCTTCGCGGTTCACTCCCCCTGCCACCCACATTGGGGTGACAGGGGGGTAAGGTTGCCCTTGAACCAAAAGCTGGAGCGTGTCGACATATGTTCGTTGCTCCTCAAACATGGTTTTCGTCGACAGCACTCATTGCAATATATGTTGTGTATAGTTGTGTTGAGTGACCTATGATGATTCATGGGCGGTGAGGACTAAATCCAGAAACACCCTAAACTCTTTGGGCTGTTGATGACTGGGATTTGCTATCCAAGAACCGGGACAAATAAAAACAAATACATAGTCGACACGAACGAGCTTGCGGTGTGGTGCCACATGGGCCCTTCGCGCAGAAAACCTCCGGCAAAAACACGCTTAAAGAAACACAAACATTCCCCAGAAGGGGGGCTCACTGATGTCGATAATAACAGTCATCCTAATAAACAAAAACAGGCATTAACCCCGCGATTTCAATTATTGCCCGCATTTGGTGGCACATGGTGGCGCAAAACCTGGCATCCAGGGAACATCTGGCAAACAAACTTCAAAGTCGGGCTGTCAGTTCCGAGGATACAAGAGATCTTGATGATGTCCAGGTCAAAGGCGAGAATCCTCAACAACACTTCAACCCATGCTGCATGGCTCTGTGAACCCTGTGGAGGTTGCGACTAGATTGGAAGGCGTAGAATCGGGCCTTTTCACGCTCAAGGGCTTCATCAATGGCACCATTGGCAGAACGAGTTCCCAACTTCCAAACTGTAATCGAACCAATCCAACAAGCGAAAGAATTGTTGGAAGATATTGGAAAAGTTGGAACAGAACCTCTCCGGACCCAACCTGTCCAAACCCAGATCCTGCCGATCAAGGACTGACTGCTAAGAGTTCATGGGCCGAACGCTGGTGGATATTGGAATATATTGGATATGGCGAGACTCATGTCTGGATGGTGGCTAAAACCCTTCCCAATATCATTATAGCTCCGGACTGACACTTAGAATGCCCCGAAAATCCTCACATCTCTATCCTCGGACTTTCTCCATGCCCTACGTGGGAACAAAACCGTGGGGTAGACTTAGAATGGGTCAAAGGTGTCACCGGCAAACTGTCAGAATTGCAGGCTGTGATGCAGTTCCACTTTCATATGAACCTTTACATGCCAATAAAAAACGTTGCTCATGTGAACCAATGTCGCAGAAGCGGCTGAAGCGTATATTATTGATTCATAACCTGCACACATAATAGTGCTGCGGTGGTGGTGGTGGTGGTGGTGGTGGTGGTGGTGGTAAGTAGTAATAAGTACGTATGTACGTACTTAGTTCCTTACTTACTATAGTTAGTCGTCGTCATCGTAGTAGCAGTTGTAATAACAAGTCGTCGTAGTCATCGTCGTCATCGTCGTCGTCGTCGGCGGCGTCGTCGTCGTCGCAGCAGCAGTAGTAGTGGTAGTAGTAGTCGTGGTGGTGGTGGTGTCATTCTAAGCCTCATCACCTGCACACATGTATACTTTCCGGACTGGAACTTTGGAAAATGACATTCTAAGCCTAGGCATTTCTCACGTAACATTCTAACAATGGAAAAACCTGAGAAGCTGCAAAACGAAAGCCAGCGCTTTTGTGGGGCTGATTCGCAGTGCAAAGCCGGGAAGAAGCTATTTCCACTGTCTGTGAAGCCTGATGCGTGCCATACCTGGGAACAGAATTGTAGCTACAAGACCTTTATTTTCAAGGTGGCCTGAACAGAGTGTTTTAGGGCAGCAAA